ATGAGCTGCCGCGCCGTCTCGAGGCCGAATGCGCGGTGTCGTCGCGCCACTTGCTCAGCCAGCCACAGCGAGGAGCCCATAATCTCGGCCTTGTCCCTGGCAGTCGGGAGCTCCGACGCCTCCGAGACCGCGACCAGCCTCGCGATGACTGGCGACGCCAGTTCTACCATCTCGGCCGAGTGGGACATGGTCTGCATAGTGGTGTCATCCACATAGATGTCCAGAGTGACGTTGGGGCCATGCAGCGAAGCGAGGCGCTGAAGACGTCGAATGACATCATCATGGTCAGCTGTAGAAGGTGCATCGCGATCGTGCAACCAAGCAGCGCTCCCGCCATGGGGCGCACCGCGTAGGACTTGGTCGCCCCCCAACGAATCCTCCTGGGTGCCATATGCATAGCTTGCACGGCCTTAAGGATGTCCGTCGGGAAGTTGTAATGTTGCCGCGCGTGTGATCTTGATCCACGCAAACCTGTCGAAGCACTTGCTGATGTCGGTCAGCGTCGTGATGACAGCGTCGCCGTCGTGGTGTCCGTCGCTTCTGCGTGTGCCATGGTGCGAGCCCCCGCGTCAATGGTCGACCGCCCAGCTCCCAAGGTAAACTATGGCCTCTCATGGGCCGCCATCCATAGTTTAATGTGGCCTATGCGCACCTTGGTATAGACCCTGCAGATGGGGGGGGAGGAGTGCGATTGGGCGAAACCCGCCCTGCGCCTTCGTGAGGAGCATCACGTGCACAACCATGGTGGGGGATGGCCGTCTTCCCATAGCCTCCAGGGCCCGCAGTATATAGAGCAGCGTGGCCAGCGCCTCGTCGGGCAGGATGGAGTAGGCACGAGGGGGCATGGCATCCACGCCCAGGCCCGTCTTCCATGCAAACGTCTTCGAGGCCGCTCGCACCTCGCTGATCGTCGGGGCACGGGGGCATCCCGCGGGAGGCTGCGGATGAGCTCAGGGATCTCGCCGTCCATGTCGATGCGGTGCTCCGTGGCGTAGTCATTAGCGGTGGCCATGCCGATGGTATCCTGCGCGTCCGTGGTGGCGATGCTCTGATCTGGCGTCTGCGAAGTCACAGTGCCCTCCCAAATGTCACCCCAAAAGGCCATCTGGCTGTCAGCCAGCGCCGGAGGTAATGCTGTGCGGATGCCGTACCTGTCCACCTCGTTGCGTGCCCATCCTTTCAGCGTCGTCATGCCGAAGACTGGTGGCGCGCCTGTGATCAAAGCGTCCTGGGCCCACTTGTGGAAGCTGGTGGCGCGCCGCTTGGCAGCCCGCCTCTCCAGGTGCTCCGCGTGGTCATCGACCGTGGCCGCGCATGCCGTGACGAGCGCGGCAAAATGGTGGCCCGTCCGCATGACGGCATAATGAATCAGGCGCCATGCCGATTCAAACAGGAGCACGCCTTCCTTCGTGTGGATATCCTGTCGGTGACCAAGTCGCAGCGCTCGCGTCGCGCGCGTCCACCGGTCTCGCGAGTCATCAGAGTGCGCGACCGAATGTGCCAAATCATGGAGTGCGAGAGCCAGGTTGCGCATGCAACGTGCCTCCGCGCCCGCTGCGGGCCTGCCTGGTCGAAGGGGTGCCCCCCAACTTGTCGCCAAAAACAGGCAGGTCGAGCTGCCCTGCCACAGTGGCGCACCGCGCCCTGTAACTGGTAGATGTGGCAGAAAACCTGCTCCATGATGGACGTGAACGTCGCGTGCGTCGCGCCCAGGCGCTGCTGAGCGTCCGCTGCGTTTTGTGGTTGGCCCCTCCTGGAGTCAGCCTCGCGACCTCTCTGTGTGGCTTCGGCGCTGGTGTCCCCGACAGCGGGCTATCGCCTGCGAAGCGCGGCGGCTGCCGCGGGAAGGCCTTCGGCGCTCGAAGATGATGCTCGAGGTGCCTGCGAGGCTTAGCGGCAAACGCCAGTCGCACAGGATAATGCGGTCTGGGCGTCCACTCGTCCAGGGCGCGGGGGGGCCTCGCAGGCCTTCGCGGAATTGGGTGAGACGAGCCAGTGGTCTATGGTGCTGAAGTTACCAGTGGTGGCTGCCCTGCAGGTGCCCGTCGTGGAAGTGACTGCAATGGCAGGCATCACCTGCGTGAAGCCGAGCTCCTCCAGTAGGGCAGGCTCGGCGTTCCAGTCGGCCGCGAAGATGTACGGGGCCGAGAAGTAGCGCGCGGCCTCTGCAATGCGCACCAGCTTCTCATAGTTCGTAGTGAGGTAGTTGTGGCCACCGACGGACCCCATGTAGGCTGAGCCCACAATGGTTACTGCCGCTGCCCAAGAACGCAGGTTCTCAACGCCGTCAGTGATGCCCTCAGCAGGGCTCAGCAACGTAGTCTCCACATGCTTCCTAACGAAGATCCCGGCTCCTGCACTCGGTAGCTTGGGCGCCAGTCGTCGACGCTGGCTGATGAAAAGGTTGCCATCCATGTCGCAGCGCCCATGTGCGGGCATGGTCCAACCTTGCTCCATCTAATCGGAGTTCTTGGCAGGCAACCACGAGAGCATCCCCTGCACCTTCAAACAACAACTGCTGGCACGAAGTCCAGCGCGACCCATTGAAGGTGATCGCTCCTGTTGCCGAGCGCCGAGCTCCGCGTGCTCCTCTGTCCAACTGTGCACCCATGCCGCTGCGTCCGCGCTGGCGGGCGCATGTGGGAAACTGGCTGGTACCCCTGATGCTCCGCCCGCTGTGGCGGCTGCTGACGCTGGGGCGGTCTGCGCAGACGCTGTGGCGGCCGCTGCTGCAGGTGGGGCGCTGGCGCCAGCAAGCTGCCCGCCCGCGGCGCAAAACGCGGTGCCTTGCGGGGGGGCAGCGGCGCCCAGCCTTTTGATGTGGTCAGCCAAAGTGTCCAGGATGCCCCCCCCACCATGTTGCGGTCCTTGCCCGCGCTGATGGAGTCCCTGGCGCCCTGGGGGATCTGCTGCAGGGAGGCGACAGCATTGGCGGCTTCCGCCAAGCCTGGGGACGGGGTGGGTCCCAGCGCGAGCCTGGCATGAGCGACCTCCGCATTGACTGCCACGAACTGCTGGTTCGCCGCGGCCAGCTTGGTGTTCGTGTCGTCAAGCTTCGACCTGAGGTCACTGGCGACGGACTCCCATCGTTCGACCTCCTGCTTGCAGTTGCTCTGGCGTGCAAGTGCTGATCGGAGGACGTCCTCGGGGGCCATCTGTGCACGCTCCTGCTGCTCCGCCTTGGCAAGCTCTTCGCGCGCCATGGCCACGATGGGATGCTGCTCCTCGTAGATGCGCCGTAGCCCTGCAAGCGCCTTCCGCACTTGAACACGGCGCTGTCGCCTGGCTTGTCGAGCTCCATGCCGCCGGCGGCGGCGCTAAGCTCCTCACCGGCAGCAGCACGGTGGCGAGAGCCAGAGCGCGCCCACTGGGCCTTGGACGGCTGCCTCGGGCACCCTTGTCGCCAGTGGGCCTGCCCTTGCGGTCGCGCCCGCACGCCCAGCATGCCTGCCTGCTGGGGAAGTTGGGCGCGAAGCCGCAGGCACGCGTGGCCACGCATGGCCAGGTGCCTTCTCGCCACGGGGCCGAGGAAGGCGGTTCACCAGTGCCGCCTCCGCCCATGCCGATGAGCTCACCAGCCTCGCCGTCCAGCGTCCTCCTCGCCGCGTCGAAGCGGAGGAGACGCCTGGCCTGTGAGCGCGCCCTCCGCTCGCACCTGTGCCAGGCGGGGGACGGGGCGCGCGTCGCCGTGATGCTTGAGCCAAAATGGCTTGAGCTAAACTGGCTTGAGCCAAAATTGCTACGGAGGAGGGGGATGGGGATGATGATGATGATGATGATGATGATGATGATGATGATGATGATGATGATGATGATGATGATGATGATGATGATGATGATGATGATGATGATGATGATGATGATGATGATGATGATGGAGGAGGAGGAGGAGGAGGAGGAGGAGGAGGAGGAGGAGGAGGGAGGAGGAGGAGAGGAGGAGGAGGGAAGAGGAGGAGGGGATGAGGAGGAGGAGGAGGAGGAGGAGGAGGAGGAGGAGGATGGGGAGGAGGTAAAAGGACAAACGGGGGGAGGAGGGAAGACACTTGCCGCGGGAAGAGGCCAAAAAAGGTCGTAAGAGAAGCACGGGTAGTGCAAGCTTGGCAGGGGAGGGCTATTCGCACCCCGACGGCGGGGCCAGCGCAATGTGGAGCCGACGGACGAGCACATCCCGGAGCGGACGGGCGGCGGGCGCTGGTGTCGCGGGGCGCAAGCGGGAATACTTTCGCACTTGCGCCATTGCCCCAGGAGCCCAAAACACAATATGCGCACATCAGGGGACACGGGAAGAGGAAGTGGAGGAGAGGATACGGGAGGGGAGAAGGCTTCCTTCCTTCTCCTCCTCCTCCTCTTCCTCTTCTTCTTCTTCTTCGTCTTCTTCCTTTTCTTCTTCTTCTTCTTCCTCCTTCTCGTAAGCCGTCGCAGACTCTTTCTCGAACACCTCCTTCACGAAGGGCACTGCCCAAGCCGAACGCTCGCGCACCGAGACCGACAAAGAGGAATGCGAACCCTGCCCGAGACAGCACATGCGTATGGCATGCTGCAGCCGCTTTTCCGTGGTCCGCCACTTCCGCCATCTTGCGCAACGGCCCTGCTCAGACCGTTCCGTGGCCAGCTCCGCCCGTGTGCGGCCGCTGGGCCTGCCGACCTGCCGTTCCTGGGCGCCGGGCCCGACGTGTCTCGCCGGGGACCCGCCGCCCCTCCCAAAGCCTCGCGGGCGCGCAGAGATGGATTGGCAACGCGTGGGCTAGCGACGGGCCCCCTTTCCGCACAGAGTCGGCGAGCTCCGTCTCCAAATCGGGCGGCACTGGCCTCACGCTTCGGGCGTACCTTCACTCCCGTTCGTGGGTCTGGCGCCCACGCGACAGATCCGCGGATCCCTCATCCATGTTGGCGTGCGCCCGAAAGCTGACCCCCATACGCCTCAAGCAGCCGATCCTCCCCCCCCCCCAGAGGCAGACGGCGACGTCGACGCCGACGTCGACGGCGGTGACGGGTTGCGCCTCGGAGCTGAACCCTTCGCGGACGCGGTAGAGCTCGTAGACCTGCCAGAGCATGTTGAGGTCCAGCATGCCCTGCCGGCCGGGTGGGGGGAGAAGGGGAGGGAGGGTTTGAAAGAGTGGGGGGGAGGAGGAGGAGGAGGAGGAGGAGGAGGAGGAGGAGGAGGAGGAGGAGGAGAAGGAGGAGGAGGAGGAGAGGAGGAAGAGAATGATGAGGAGGAGGAGAAGGAAGGAAGCCTTCTCCACACCCCCGTACTCCTCCCCTATCCTCTCCTGCTCTTCCTCGTCATGTGGCCCCTACTCCTCCTCCTCCTCCTTCTGCTCCTCCTCCTCCTCCTCCTCATCCCCCTTTCTCTCCTCTTACTCCTCGCCTCCCCCTCCTCGTCTGCTCTCTCCTCCTCTTACTCCTCCGTCCTTCTCCTCCTCCCTCTCGGCCCTCTTCGCCAGCGATAGGGCAGGTGCCGAGTGTAGCCCTCGACCCTTGAGCATCGTGAGCCCAGAGGCGGACCGAACCTTTCAGTCCTGACATTGTTCCTTCGTTTTGGGTCCCAGGAGCCATGCTGGGCTACACGTCCGAGTGACCATGGGCAAGAGTGACCTTTGGTGCGCGGCTTGCCGGCCGTTGCGTGCGGTCCGACAGAGGCTGCCTGCATGCTTGGGCTTGACCCCGAAGCGCCCACCGAAAGCCGCGCACCAGAGGTCACTCAAGCGAAGGGCCACCTTTTTGTGCAACCGACGTGTTGGGGCCCCAGGGGCGACCGTCAAAATGGATCCGGGGCGAAAAACTGCACCCGGGGAAGTGGTCGAGACCTGTGGGGTGGCGGACTGCAAAAGTCACATCGTCGCAGAGCGCCCCCGAGAAACCCAGAAGCACCTTGGTCTGAGTCGGGGGGGTGTGGGGAAAATTCTTTCCTTTTCCGTTTATTGGTCTCTTGATTCCTTCCGTGTCTGAAACGGTGGTAGACAGTAAGTAGCATCCCAATTTTGTCGGGGACGCCAGGTGGCCTCAGGGATACCTCCGATGCTGGGGTCCGCCTAGGGGCGTTCAAGCCCCCTCCCCCATGGCACACGCCCGCTGCTCAGCGCACTCGATGGACTCGGGTGATTTTTTTGTGGCTTGCTGCTGTCTTCCATCCGCACGCCGGAGCTGAAGCGACCCGTGCCCCCTGATGAGCCCGCCTCCGCCTCTCTCCCTCTCCTCTCGTCTTTTCCTGCTCTTGGACCGCCACCTTGGACCATCTTTGGGCCATCATATTGGACCAACTTGGACCACAATCTTGAAACATCCTGGACACCATCTAGGTCCATCTCGGACCATGTACTTTGAACCAACTTGGAGCAGCATCTTGAACAACAATCATGAGACTTCTTGGACCACCATCTCGGACTACCATGGTGAACGATCGTCTAGGACCATCTCGAACCACCATCTTAGACCATCTTGGAACATCTTCAGGCCGACAGCAAGTCGCAACGGAGGTTCTGGTGATACAGTTTGTGTAGTTTTAATATTCAACACACGGGTCTCTCAATGAAGCGGTCTTCGTGGACACTATTTGACCGTTTGGGACCATCTTGGACTACCGTCTTGGCTAGCTTGGACCACAATCTTGGACCACCGAGCAGGGGATGAAGGTGTAGGAGGAGGAGGAGGAAGCGAAAGAGGACGAGGAGAACGATGAGGAGGAGCAGCAGGATTCGAGCGGGAGCAGCAGCGGAAGCATCATTCGAGCATGGGCTGGAGCAGAAGGAACACGTGAAGAACGAGGAGCCTGGGGAAGGATGAGGAAAAGAGAAGAACGGCCCGAACAATATCGAGATCGAGATTTGCGCTTCTCAAATCCCGGATCCGATGCCTACCCGTCCCTGGTCCCTCCTGCTCCTCCCCCTCCACATCCTCCTCTTTCCCTTCAGCCCAGGGGTGGACCGAGCCCTCCCGACAACCGACAAAAGGGCAATTCGACCATCGACCTGGCAGGGTGGAGGTTCTGTTCACCTCCGGTCCTTTCCCTCTCTCGCCTCCCCCCAGGGCGGCTGGAGGGGGGGCGTCGACGTCGGGCTGGAACCCGCAGTCCCGGATCGCGTCGTTGACGCACTCCGCCTCGGCCGGGTAGCCCAGGGTCCGCAGGACCTGGGAGGCGGGGGTGTGGGAGGGGGGTGGGCAGAGGGAAGCGGGATGGGATGTGCAGGATTTGCATGATGATGCTGATGGTGATGTAGAGGAAGACGATGGTGATGATGATGATGATGATGATGATGATGATGATGATGATGATGATGATGATGATGACGATGATGATGATGATGATGATGATGATGATGGCAATGCTTATGTATATTATGATGAAGATAGTGCAGACAATGACGATGGTGATGACGACGATGTTGCTATTGTTGGTGATGATGGTGAATGGTTGTGATGATAAACATGTTACTGACGACGATGCTGATGATGACGATGTCGGTGATGATGGCAATGATGATGTTGATGATGATGATGGTCATGATGATGATGATGATGATGATGATGATGATGATGATGGTGATGGTCATGATGATGACGACGATTATCATGATGATGATGCCGGTGATGATGCCAGTGATGATGACGACGATGATGATAATGATGTTGTGGACGATGAGGAGGATTCGGCTGTTAAGTGCTGCATGTCGAATAATGCTGCTGCTGATGATGATGCCAATGAGGGTGCCGATGCTGAGGATGATTATGTGTGATGCTGAGGCTGATGCTGCTGATGATGCTGCTGCTGATGCGGATGATGATGCTGATGATGCTGCTGTTGATGATGATACTGCTGATGCTCATGCTGATGCTGATGCTGATGATGATGACGATAATGATGATGATGATGATGATGATGATGATGATGATGATGATGATGATGATGATGATGATGATGATGATGATGATGATGATGATGATTATGATGATGCTGCTGCTGCTGCTGATGATGCTGAGTGGTGATGAGGGTGACGATGATGCTGAGCGATGACGATGAAGCTGCATGATGGTGCTGCTGCTGATGCGCATGAAAGATGATACAAGATAATCTAAGGCTCCGAGAACAAGGGGCCACCTGGCCAGCCACCAGCCAGCGCGCCGCAGGTCGCGAGCCCACGCGCCGCCGGGCGGGCTTCGAGCAGCCGTCTAACCCTGCCCCTCCTCCTCCTTCCCCTCCCCCTCCCCCTCCCCCTCCTCCTCCTCCTCCTCCTCCTCCTCCTCCTCCTCCTCCTCCTCCTCGGGTCGCCAGCGGTCCCCGGGGAACCCGTGCACCCCAGACCCCATCTTTCTGCGTAA